CTCTGGTGCAAATTACTGACCTCTGTCATCATTTTAAGTGGGGGAACTTGCACAATCGGTGGCTGACTAAATACTTTTTTGCCCCACTGTATTGGCTGTGAGGCGGGTCGTGTATTTATGTTGAGCCTGCTTTAAGCGACTCCTACTTACACAGCTAATGGGCAGGGCGAAGCCCACAGTGTAGAGCACCGTGGAGGTGATTGTACTGCTGTGGAAAGGGTACTTGATGCTGTCGTCTGTACAGAAAAAGCCCCTTTGGTAGGGACGGATCTTACCCAGGTTATAGGCTGCCAGAGGCAGACCTCCTGTGGAAGGAGAGACCGGGAGGAATTACCACAGCAAAAAATTCACACGTTAAAAAAAACATACAACGTATCATACAGAACGAAGGTGTCAAACGGCACAAACCTTATTATGTATTACTTGTGTCATTAAATTTGATGAAAAGACCAAAATCAATATATCATAAAAAGCTGTTTGCTTTATTTTATTTTTTATTAATAATGTTGAAGAACAAGAACAATAAGAACAATGTGTGGCATTAGTTCAGGACTACTTCAGACTGGTGATTATTTGGTGAAAAAGACTGAACATCTAAAACAGCTGCGCTACCTTGTAATGAAATGCAGTACCTGTCCTAATAGTAAGTAGGAACTACATCAGGTTACACAAGAAATACTGGTTTATACTCTGCAACATTACAATTTAAAGATGAAAACATCTTCCGGCACGAGTGACATAACCACTCTTTGGGCAATTTGTCAGCAAACTGCGCTGAGAGGTTTGTGGCTGGACGACTGACTCACACAGATGTGAGAGGAGCTTTGGACTCGGCTAAGATAAAATACCATAAAGACACCAGAACGGGCTGATTAGTTAGACAGTCCAAAGTCTTGATGTAATGCTGCTGCCATTCCTGCAGGCTGTTTAGCCTGTTTAGCTCATTGTACGGTGCGGAGAAGACAAGATTCATTTAAGCAGAAAGCATGAGTCCATCAGTGAAAGGTAATGCGCAAGGCTGCAAATGGACGGGCGCGCACAGCCGCACAACGCCAGGATATGCCATCATCTACAAATAAACTGCCCATTCATTCGGCCTGGTATCTCCGCTCTGCGTGCCTCCTCTGCAGCTGTCCTCACCCACATGAGGGACAGCTCCTCACCAGCTGAAGTTGACGGCCTGGAGCAGCTGGAGATGCCAGAAAGCTGGGAATGAAACGCACTCCAGACAGCTCACGGCTAACTTTACAACTGCTGCGAGCAGCCAAACACAAACAAATAGGCAGAGAAGAAGAAAAAAAGAAAAATCTTAATCTCACATTTACCAGATGACATTCCTGTGACTCCAACAGTACAACATGCATGCGCCTGTTTGGCAACATGCAGCAGTGCATGACTGCTGCTAACAGCCTCCGTCTGTCTGGAAACAGACTCTCACAAGATGCCTGCTTGTAATTTAATAGCCCCTTTGAATTAAAGGGTGAATGTGAACTGCACGCAGGCAGTCAAACAGCTTCTCAGGGCAACACAGGTTCAGGTGTAGAGCAGAAAGAAATCTGCATCCTTTAATTGACATGTTTCTTTTTGCTCACCTTAAATCTAAGACATAGCAATTACTGCGATGGCCAATTGAGAAATATCAACACGACTATAAGACCTGTTGAAACATGATGTGAATTAAATTTAATCACATTTTATTTGTATAGCGCCAAGCCACAACAACAAACCCTACAATAATACAGAGCAACTCCCAAGAATCATTTGACACTCTGTGAGTAAGCACTTGGCAACAGTGGGGAGGAAAAACTTTCTTTTAACAGGAAGAGACCTCCAGCAGAACCAGGCTCGGGGACAGGCAGCCCCAGCCCCCCAGCCCTGTTGGGAGTGGTTAAAAAGTGCTCTTCATTATAATGGTAGAATCTCTTTGCTTCACTTTAATGGCCAGTTTGTGTTTGCCGTGTCTGGAGAAGATCTTTGGTGGGAACAGAAACTGAGAAATGAGTCTCTAACTCACCATGTGGGGCTATTCAACACGTCTACAGTACAGTTTCAGATTTGCTCTGCAGTGCTTTCAGACCTTTTGAGGGAGGGAAAGTGCAGTCACATGTATCAGGAAACTTTGCTGAGCAGAGGTAGCACTGTATTCTAAACTAAGTGTCAGGAAATTTACGTTTGGCTTAAATGAGTCACGGATTATAGAGCAGCATATAGACTCCAAATTTTCCCTTACATAAGTGAAAGAATACGTCAGTGCGTCAAGTACCAAACCACTAGATCAGGAGAGAAATCTACTGGTACAGTGTAATTAATATGATATTCAACGCATGAATTATTAGTTTTACACTGCGTCTAATTTCATAATTATTTATCAGCACATGCTGTGCCAGCACAAACTGAAAAGTCAGTTTGCATAGAAGCTGCTGAAGATAAGCTCACATATTACAGCTGTACTGTAGCACCACTGTAAATACAACGTCAGTGAATCCAGCACCACTCCCTTCACGTGAACGAAAGCTGCTAAATACCCATTCAGCAGGTTTATACCCGCTTCCTAAATCGGCTTACATCAAAAAGACTAACAGCATAGTACATAAAAGCGAGGACGGGAAAAAGGCGTTTAAATACATACCCAGAACTAGACAGACTATATCTAGTAGGACAAAGGGAATCCCTCTCATGTCGAACATGTTGTCTCTTGTCTGTGCTTTCCTGAGTCCCTGTCTGCTGCCCGGTCTTCTGCCGTAATAAAACACCAGGGGGACGCTCCTCCTCAGGACGTAGCTGCTGCTGTGCTCCTTCCGATTGAATGAGAGCCAAAGGAAGGCAGCAGCGAGCTGTTTAAAAAGCACAATAAAAGCCGACGCCCTCCAAAGAAACACAAAGACCACCCCGGACACAGGAGAGCAGCTGCATATCAAAAGAAGCGAGTGTGGCTCACAGACCGGCCTCGCTGCTGTGTTTGTTGATGTTGTTGTAGTTGGGTGGGGGCGGCGGTGGTGAACTGCAGCGCAGCCGATGACTCCGCATATGCTTCATGATGGATTTACAGCCGATTTGAAATTTTTTTAAAAAAAAAGCTTCGTGATAAAAACAAACAGCGAGTCTCGGCTCGCAGCTGTCCCGCGTGTCGCTGTGTGTATCCAATGAAACACGAGCCTGTGGCGGACACGAGAAGACCCGAGGAGATCGCAACTACGCCAGGCCCGCTGCTGCCTTCACGTACCCGCGTGAAGCTGGGGGAAATATGAAGCTTTAAAATGGTGCGTTCATATAATATCGGTAGATTGTTGAAAAAAAAAGTTTTTTACAATTACAAGGCAATTATTAACGGGTTTTTTCCGCTGAGAAAATTAATAGAATTATGAGGATGTGCCTCTGGGGACCCTGAACGTTTAAATACGTGTATTAAACTAATATTAGGCCTGATTGTCTGGATATTTTATTGCACCTTAAAAGATGTGGAGAACGGCTTTTTTAGGCTATGGCTTATAATTTGTATGTATATAATTATAGCTAATGTCTAACAAAAACAAAAGTTAAATGCGTGCTGTCCTTTTAGAAACTGCCTTTTGCATTTTAATTTCACAAATAAATAAACATTTTTCATTGAACCGCTGTATCAATATCGCCCTCTAGGGTCCGGTGGTTGAACGTGCGCACTCCTTTAGCAATGATTCACATTCCAATGTTTTCAGTCCCGTGGTCACCGTGATTTATCTGCAGATATTTAAACACAAACAATTGACTGACATTGGTTATATAACCCTCTAAACAAAACATTGCATGTCAAATGTCCATGAAGGAGTTAAAGTTAAAAGAGGAAACACTAACTTCAGCACAGCCATTTGCAACAGCTCTAGTTCCTAAAACCTTATAAATTCAGTTTGCATACCTGATGTATTACACGCTCATGATGTTCCCGATCACATATTCATCAGTGAACAAATCTCAAATCCAAGTGAGTCACATTTCTGGTCTCAGTTTGATCAGTTTGGAGACAAAGTTAAAGAGAGGTTAGAAAGTTAAAAAGAAGAGGATATGCTAATTTTTAAAAGTTTACTTCAACAGCCATCACTATTTTGCTTACTTGTTAACGCACGAGAAATAAACAGATATGTAGTCTTAAAGGACCGATAACTTAAAGACTTAGATTTCACTTCTTTACCCCCACTGTAAAGAAGTGAAATCACTGAATTAAACATGTTAACACACTGTATTAACATGTTTGCCTGTGACAATCACGGTACATAGAAAGATTGCTTTCACAATAAATGTCTCCATGACGACCTCTGAGTGCTTCCTGTAGTGCTCAGAATCAGCTTTCATGAGGAAAGAGCCATTATCAATATTGCATATATTGATATTTGTCACAGCTGTACTTGGAGAAGCATGACATCAGGGCTGCCAACTAACGGTGCTTCATTTATTCTCACACATTCATAACACCAAAAAATGTTTTAGTCTCGCTTTTAAACTTGAGAGCAGATTGCGAAATCAACCCACAGAGATGAGAGAAATTTTAAATCACCAAACAAGTCTTTATGCATACCAAGTGACACCAAAGCATACAATAAATCTAAATGAGAGAACATATCGACATCCCTAATCAAACCAGAAATACAAATAATGTATGCCACTGCACTGCAAATGATCACACCACAGTGTAACTCTGAAACCGCTGCAACCAATTCACACATGGGTACACACATCATAGACAACTTAGGTTTCAGTACTACTAAGAATTAGTAGTGTATAATCTGTAGCGGTTTGAGATAGGGAAGTGACACATACAGTACATAACTGGCTGTGTCACTGGAAGAACTGCAATGTAACAATTAGTCTTTAATATTGCTGTGAGGGAATTTGGGTCCACTTTAATCATAACTGATGACTAATAATTTAACAAGAGGGGGCAGTTCCTTTTTCACAAAGAGTCAGGTTCATTTTTCTTTCAGTGCAGTTTACTCAGGTTATCGTTCTCTAATATTAAAATTGTTAATATTTTAAAAAAGAATCAGGCAGGGGCAAATGTTTTTGCAGTACTGTGTGTGCCCACACAGTGTATGTATGTATATATATGTATGTGTTAGGGGTGCAACGATACACAAAATTCACGGTTTGATACTTTGGTGTCAAGGTTCGATATTATTTCGATTCAAAAAAATGTTCATGCTTTTTTAATTTGTCATTTATTAAAATTATGAATATATATTTTAACTCAAACGTACAGTTTTTAAATTTAATGTTGCTGAAACAACAAAGGGATAAAATAATAAATCTATCTGATCGAGAAATCAGAAAAGAGAAATCTTTGGAAAAGAGAGTTTATTACAGAGAAATGGCTCTTTCCAAAATAAAAGCTATACTATACGCTTCTTCTGGGCAATACTCTCAGCAGCATATTAAACATATCAGGTCCCCATAAGGAGAATCATGTGCTAACGGCTGTCTAAATGACTTGGGTAAAGTTTGTAGCATGCGTGCTTGTTGTTTTTGTCTGCTTCCACTTGTCTTTGCACTAAGATGATGTCGGAGTAAATGTGCAGTCATATTCATTGTGTTCCCACTAGTGCTGTCAGCGTAAATCTGAAATGACATTAACGCCACAACACGGCAAATCTCCGTTAACGAGCTACCGAGGATCGCCCCATGCGTGGGGCTGGACGGCATCAACACCTTAACGAGCAAACTGTGCTAACGCACTAGTTCCCACCCATGTAATTGAGCATTGCGTGGCACATCC